ACAAAGAGAAAAAAAAGAGGGGGGGGGGGGCAGTTAACAGCAGGGAAGCCCACCCCCCTCAAAAGAAAAGCAACGGAGGGAGGGAGGGAGACGTGCGAAGAGAGAAGTGCCCGTAGAGCGTCTTAGAGATATACATAACGAGTGAGGGGTTTAAGCAGCAAAATAAAAATAAAAAATGAAACAAAAAAAAAAGCCACGAAACCACGAAAGGATTCGAATGAAATCGACGAAATGACATGACCTCCGCAGCCACTTATTGCCGGCGCTGCGGCTGTGCAATCTCACGTAGCCGCCGCACCATCTGACTCGCCACCACCTCCTCGGTGTAATTCGCCTCTACGCTCCGCCGCGCACGACGCCCCACCTCACGCGCGTGCTCGGGATGCTGCAACACGTACTGCATCAACGCCGCCGTCCCTGCCACGCTCGGCATCGCGTACTTCTTGCCAGGCTCGTAGCCGTACACGCTGCGCGGTGGCAGCTCTTCGAGGCCGTCCACTGGAATAAGGAAGGAGTTCTCACGTGTTGCGAAGGCAGTGGAGCCGCCCCAGTTGGTGGTGAGCACCGGCAGCGCCATCGACATCGCCTCCATCGCCGGCACGCCCCATCCCTCTGCGCGCGTGGGCAGCACAAAGGCATCGACGGAGCGGTAGAGACGTAGCAACAAATCCTGCGACATGCCCTCAACGCCAATGATGACAATGGGCGGGAAGTCGGCAAGGGTGATGGGCAACTGCATCGTGTCGCGCACCCAATGCTCAAGAAAACGCGGCAGGGTGGAGAAGCTTACACCATCCGAGAACTTGAGCAGGAAATTCACTTTGATGTACAAGACCACATCATCGTGGTGCGGCTTCCCAGAACCGAAGGCCTCCCAGTAAGCCTTGAGCAAGACGTCCCAGCCTTTGCGGAACTCCCACTTGAAGACACTTAAAAAACGATGTCGCCGCTTCTTAGCACCACTCTGCTGCGGCTGTGCGTCGTCGTCGAGTGGGCGGTTGCTCCAAATGCCCTCCTTCCCCAACGCCGCTGCAAGCACCGCTGGGAGCGTGTGATCAATGGGTTCCTGGAGCGCTGGATCAAATGTGAAGGCATCGATGGACTCGGGAATAACATGAATCATGCCGTGTTTCACCCCCGACCTCTCATAAATGGACTTGAAGAAGGAAGACGGCGCCCACACCTCGTCAAGGTGGCGGTGGATGCGCTCAACCTCCACTGCAGAGATGCGTGACATCTCCGTGATAATGCGGCCAACCGCGTACCCCGGCCGCTGCCGCACCCTGCCAAAGCGCTCCAGTTTTGTGGTCGGGCCGTCGTGGAACAGCGAGACGGTGTTGAATTGCGTCACACGTGACTTCCATATACGTGTGACCCATTGAGTCCTGTATAGCCCATCAAGCACGGGCAACGGCGCCGTCTTACACCACCTACACTTATGGCCGACGAAGGAGAAGGGAATACCCCAGGACTGCAGAGGTGCGACGTAGTGTAGCATCTCCAACATCATACCAGAGCAGCCAGTATTGCAGTATCGGTTATGGACACTGATGTGCACCAGCTTTCCCCCTTGTATTTGTGTCGTGTTAGACGTCACATGCAGCGCAGGCGTGCCGTACTGAGCTGCTTCCCACGAATAACTCATTACCCGACGACGAGCCCGTTCCGCTAAGTGATTTCCCCACTTTCTCGTCTGCTGTGGATTCAACACGTAGGACGCACGCATGGGACTGAATCGACAGTATTTATCCTTCTTCTGCTGCTGTTGTCTCTGTCCTTCTTCTCGGACTGGAAGGATACTGCATCGCAAGTCCAAAGAGCGCCAGGCAACGGCGAGTGCGGTGCTGCTCCAAAACTCCACCTCGGGCTGCATGTGCGATATACGGAGCGACATGGACCATCCCATGTATCCGGGGGCATCGGGTTTCATGGAATTGAATGCATCCCCCTCCAAATTATAGAGAAAACCACCCGCCATATCAAATAACTGCCGGTGAAACAAGCCACAATATGGAGAGACGGCATCTAGCGGCTCCTCCCATTCCTGCACCCTCGCATCGCGTGCATCGTAGCCCAGCATGGAAAGCGTTAGGAACTGGCTTGTCACACCAGTTGCTGGACTTGCACCAAATCCCACACGAGCGCCCCGATCAAGGACTACGTGGTTAACCGACATGCAAGACGAGTTTCCACCACGCCAGCCATTAGGTGATAAGCCACCACTAGCCCCCGAGGCAGCAGCAGCTGAAGAGGAATGTGCTTTGTTAGTCAATATGGTGCATTGCACAGCCGCTACCCGGCCGTTATTGTGGCGCAGCGGCGAGATTAAGCGCTGGAGGAACCCACCTCCTCTTCCCCGCGCATTACTATGCGTCCTTGGCACTACCACAGGCACAAGTGATTCAGCTATCACGGCAAAGTACGGAGTTTGTTCTCCGCTGGCCGTCAACCCCGCCTTCACAGCGGTGTCGTACAGCCACTCCTCCCGCACTGCGCAAGTGGCACAGGTATCTTCGTTCCATTGTGGCGCAGGAGCGACGAGCCGCACGTCCCCAATACGGCAAAACATCGCTGGACCCTTGGCGGTCACTTGTTGCGTTGCTAATGTGTCTCGAATGCTCCAATGATTCCACAAACGCCCAGTCACCTCAATATCTGACTCACGAACTGCAGTCATCCCTTCCTGTTGCGCCCATTCTGGTGCCATCACCGTGGCAAGCCTTACCACCACCACATTAACGGTGAGGAGCGATGTGGAAGGGGCGTCATAGGTTGGTGCACAGAGTGAACGCACGAGTGTGGAGTCATCACGCAGGCATTGTTGTATCGTCTCCACGGCGTCGCCGTCGGTGGGCATGATGAGCGTCACGTTTCCAGAACTGAGAAACAGACTGTCTTCATATGTAATATTGGACAATGTGGAGCCTGTTAGAAATCGAAATTTCGGGGGCTCACCAAACTCTCCGTCATCGTCGAACAACAACACATTCCTCAGCAACGATAGAAGCAGGAGGAGGAGTACAATGATGCATGTGCAGCGCAACATTCCTCGTCGAGTAGAGCGGCCAGCCACCACACGCGCAGCTTTCGTTCTTTCCGCAAGCGCATGCACGGACAAATCATCCGGTCGAAGGCGGCAGCGGCTCAGTGGCCCTATCTTCTCTCTGTTCTGCATTCAGAAATGTCGACTATCGTTCTGCCGTGATGGCAGAGACACAGCCACGTCTGCGCCTTTGGGCACGTCTGGTAAAAAGTTCGACAAGCAAACGGCAGGAGAAGCATTACACGTTAGTCACCCCGTCGACAAGGACGCAGCAGTCACAAACAACCAGAATGGTAAAGAATCAAATAAAATAAAATAACAGAAACAAAGGAACAAAACAACCCACCACGACGGCCTTGTAACTGAAAGGACGCAGCAATGCATCCTCATGCCTCCGCACACACAGAGGATGAAGACGCAATAAAACCAAAAAAAAAATTACTTTTTTCACTCTATGGATTCCCCCTCTTTCGTTGTCGCCCGCCCCCGTCCGTTCGCCACAGCGCTGCCGCTCTTTCTGCTGCCGCCCCCACCACAGATGCCCCTTGAAAAGAATCGGAGCACGCGCCTTACCATACCCTTCTTTTTCTTCTTACCGTCAGACGGCATACCCTCGCAGACGTACTCCGCATGGAAGACCGGGTGCAGAGGCGTGTCGGACCTCTCCGAGGTTTCGAGCGGAGGAATAACAGCACTTGTGAAGGAGGGCCTTCGTGAGATGGTCCCCGACGCCCCCGTCTTGGCTTCCCCCGCCGTCGTCGTAGCCTCACCACCAACAGAAAAAGATACAGAACGAGGTAGCGCCGCGGCGTTGAGTGATTGGCGAAGACCCTCCTTTTTTGACGCTTTCGTCGTGGCATCCCCAGGCCGTGAAGAGATATCTTTATTCTTTTCCGCCGTGCACGGCTTTGTACCGCCGCGTCGAGCACCGCTGGGAGACAACGACGACGATGAGGTGGTGGAGCATGTAGAACTGCTGCTGCTACTGCCTCCGTCATCCGTCCGGCTCGTAGAACGTGAGGACGTCGTGGATGATCTAAGGGGGCGGAACTGTCTCATTTCTGTCTGCGATGCAGGGGGCGGTGAATTCGTCTTTATCGCTGCTGTTGCAGTTGCTGACGCTCTTAGTGCTGCTGCAAGATGGGGAGGAGGCTCTGTGCGTGAGAGGGCCTCCGCGATGCGGGCGTCTTGTTCAGCTCGCGTTGGGAGCTGCTCTGGCTCGTGCTTCTCGTGCTGCCTTTTCACTCTACTCTCACTCTCCTCGAGGGCTGTTGCTCTTTCCGGCAGAAGACGCTGCCGAAGGTGTGGCTGCCACGACGATGTGCCACGACCCTCGCGATGCGGCGTTGCAAGTGGGTCCCCTTCCTCCGCCGTCACCAGCTCCTCCTCCTCCTCCTCATCCTCTCTATGAAGTTGTATATGGCTCCGGCAATGCTGCTGCCGCTGCTGCAGCTGATCGTCGTAGTGTTTGTTGTATTGTTTTTTCTGGCGATTGTTGAGTTTAAACATTTCCAACTGGACCAACACAGGAGGTGGAGGTGGAAGCGTGCGCTTGAAAGGCCTCTGCCGAAGCAGCTCGGCCGTGAGTGGGTGCGTCTCCCCTTTCTGCTGCCTTTCATCAGCCGACATTTGCACCAGCCGCAATTCCGCGGCCGACTCCTCCCGCAGCACACGCGCCGTCTCCCTTGGCAGTAGAAAAAGGCCGCGGAACGCACTTGACTCCGGCCTCTCCCAGCAGCGCCACTCACCCGCTGTGTGCAGCACTCTGATGGCGAGATCCTCCGTCTGGCGGCGCAGCACGCGGACGGAGGAGAGCAGGTCCAGGGCACGCTGCTCCTCTGCTGGTAGCGACATCTGTTGGGGAGCAGGCTCTTGTTTGACTGTTGCCACATCATCCTTCGTTTTCACATCACTCCCTTCGCGGCGGTTCCGACTGTCGTACACCACTGTCGGCGCCGTCGCAGCTGCGTGTGTAAACACAGCGCTGTTCGCCACTGTACTGTCTTCTTCGCCATTCCCACCACCAGCACAGACATACGATGCCGTTACTGTAGTGTTATCATCATGACTGGGTGTTTTCATGGACGGTACACTCTCCCCAGCCGAGGCCAACCACGCTGGTAACAGCATATTCTCTTCTGTGAGCGGTGCTGTAGCCTCGGTCGGCTGCAGCAGGACCGGTCTCTGGGGGGGTCTACCGTCTGCCGTCACGATCAGCGGCGAACAACCAGATGCAAAGCGCGACTTGAGGAGCGCCAGCGCAATCTGCGCGCCGCCAGTGCCAATACCCCTTGAAGTGGAGCTGCCGGCTTCACTTATTCCTTTTGTTGGCACTGGAGGAATTAGTCGGGGAAAGGAAGACCGCGGCAGCACCAGTGCTGCTTCTGCTGTCGTCATCGGAGCCATCAGTGTGGTCACCTCTAGCGGTTGCTGCATCGCCTGTTCATAAATCCTCCGCTGCAGCCCCATTGCGCTGTTCAGACGCATCGCTTGAGACACAAAGCGCATCACCTCCGTACGCGCAGCATCGCGTCGACGGCGGTACTCCTCCTCCTGTCGCAACGAATCCTCACGTTGCATCTCGAAGTTGCGACGGTACGCATCGCAGAGCATCAGGTCCGTCACGCAATGGGCGTGCGACTCTCGTCGTAGGGCGGGCGCGGTATCGTCGGAGCCGCCGCTGCTGCTGCAGTACACCCCTCGACAGGAGGATGACGGCAGCGACGCATTGTTGGCGCGTTCCTCGCCGCTACCAGCCAGCAAAGACGATGCCACAGTTGGACTGGAGTTCGCCACGTTTCCCTGCCGCGCAACCGCCGGTATACTGCGACTCGTGGAGTTCAGCATCATAAGCGTCAATACGCTGTTGCTGTCCGAGTCCCCCGCTGGAGGCCGTCGAATGCTGGAGAGCCCTAGAATGGGCGGGGTGTTGTGCTGCAGATGCCCGTGCTTCCCAGGAGGCACCACAATCCCGCTACTGCTATTGTTGATGTTGTTGCTGTTGCTTGTGCGACTTCGAAGCGAGGCTTGTGTCATGAGCGAAGGCAGGGCCGTGGGCACGTCGCCCGAACTACTCGAGTTTCTCAGACCCTCAGTCACCATGAAGCGCCGTTTCGCGTCGCGCAGGCGATCGATCGCCGGTATTGCGCTTGGCGGCGGCAGCATTCCCGTCTCATATGCGGTTGCCACCGCAGCCATTCATACGAACCACACAAAGACGCAAGCCTTTCTAATAATATTGATGCGCCAAAATGCGACGCGGTATGCGTGGGAATTATGTATTTCTCCTTCAGCCGTTCACAGCGTCCACCGCCCGCCTGTGAATCTCGCCAAGGCATCAGAAAGGGGATTGAAGACAGAGAAAAGAAGTTGAATCATTATGGGTAGCACCCCCCCACCCCACACACACACACCAAAAAAAAAGGGAGGCAAAGCATCGACAACAGATAGAATGAAAGTATACGTCTGGATACACAAACAGATTCACACACAGAGAGAGAAAGAAGCAGACATGTCTGCTCCTCCCACTTCTCCCACACTTCGAAGCTCAGCACCTCGCAAGTTCGAATTCCGCCAGGTCGTAGTAGCACCCCAGCAGCGTCGACGTCGCGCTCATGATGACACAGTAGTGCCATAGGTTGTGGCTGTTCCACGCATAATCAATCTCGGCACCCGAAACCACATACATGCCAAACCACCGCCAGAAGCGCGTGAGGCATCTTGATATCACCGATAGAGTCGCAGCTGTTGTTCTTCTTGTTGTTGCCGCTAGTGCAGATGATGATGATGATGATGATGATGATAAAGATGAGAGTGAGTTTTGCAATACGTGGCGCAACTGTTTCTCAGGGAAGCGAAGCGCGTTGACAGCGCCGCCGACTATAATAAAGAGGTAGCTCACCGCGTGGTAGTTAAGCGCCTGGTGGTATCCCTGCACCTGGACCTTTGGCAGCTCCATCCACAGCAGAATGGAAAGACGCAGTGCGCAGTGAAAGCCAATCGCCTTTGCACGTCCCATTGCCCCACACGGGACGGCGAAGAGCACGCTGTATAACACCGCTACGTACGACAAGAGCAGCGCCACGGCCCCGACGTGGGAACTCCAGCCGCTGCCGCACGCATTGCCGCGGTAGAGAAAGCACCACGCCGTGCCCGTTATGGATGTTACGACGCCGAGCACGTCGCAGTTCAGCAGGCGCCGGTACGCGCCCTCCGACGTGGTGCACGGCATAAAAAGGTGATACGCTGCGCTGCAGACAAATATGGCAAGGAAGACCAGGCACGTGCCGCGGAACACCGTTGCCGGGCTGGCGTTGAGCAGCGCCCCCTCTCCGCCCGGCCGCTGCCGCTGGAGTTGCAGCGGGGCCGCCGCCGACACCGCGCTGTCGTCAGTGGGTGGCAATACCGCGAGGTACAGCGTGAAGAACGCGGCGGCGGTGTGCGACCAGACGTTGAAGGACTCGTTGTGCCACGCAAAGAAGGAGCGCAGCGCGGCGCGGGGCGACATGCGTGGGCGGTAGCCGGTCACAACGTACGGGTTGAACTGCAGCCACGGGTCAACCTGCTGAACTGTCAGCAGCCCGGACATCTCGCCAAAGCGGCAGTAGCAAGAGCAGCAGCCGAAATCGTCGGCGCCCACCCCTCCAGTAAAAGCTACCTGCAACAAGTGCATTGGAGCACCAATAAGAGAGAATCAGGAGGAAAGGTATGATCACGAAGTGGTCACCATCATGCGTATCAAGTTGATGGTGGAGGACAAGGAGCGCAGCTACATATATAACTGCGGGTGTGTGTGTGTGTGTGTGTGTGTGTGTGTGTGTGTCACTGTTGATCTTCGCGTACTACACCAGCGGTCGTGCTAAATTAAAAGATACGTGTGCGCCCCAGCACATGAATACGTTGCGCATTCATAGCATCAACCGCCTCTCTGTGTGCACGTGCAAATCGCACGTGAACAGGCATGTCATCATCTCTGTTATTAACGGCATCGACAGCAGTACCGTCGGCCTTTGGGTTGATCGATACCACTGTAGTAGTGGGAAGGCGCAGCACATGCAGGTACTGCAGCCGCAACTCCTTTTCACGCTGCAGTGCTTCGCGTAGCTGCTGCTCCGCTGAATGCTGTGCAGCAAGCGCCGCGTCTTTCGCCTCTTCTGCTTGCGCAACAACAGCAGCAGCGCACAACGACTGACGCTTGCCCTCCTCTGCGACAACAAAGAGACGCCAGAGGACGAGTCTATAGCGCTGCTCCTCCTCGCGCACATCACCGCGGCGACGCGCCTCGTCAAGGAGAAAGTGGCGCCGGACACACTCCTGTAGCTGGTGAAGCGCCTGTGTGCCATGCAGCAACTGTGCCTCTTTGTCGCAGGTCTTCTGCGCCGCCACCACCGCACGGGCACACGACTGCTGAAGCGCACTGAGCATCGACCGCGCATCGGATTCATGGGCTTGCAGCTGGCGCCTACACACCTCCTCCGTCTGCCCCAACTCGCTGAAGCTGCTGTTGCGACATGTCGTTATGTGCAGCGTGATGGCCGTCTGTGTGTCGTGCTGCTGTTGCTGCAGCTTCTCGTGCACCGCAGCGAGTGCGTCCTCCATCGCCGTTCTCTGTGCAGTGAGGGCCTCTACACGCTGCGCCTGCTCCTGCAAAAGCCTTGTCTGCTGGCACAAAGTCTGCTGCTGTCCCTCCCACTCGCCGCCGGTAAACTCCGTATTGATTCCTCTGTCGACGCGTTGTGTCGGTGGCGGTGGTGATGTTCCTCGCGTTTCCCCCTCTCTTTTCGTCTGTACTGCGATGGAGCGGCGAAGTTGCTGCACGTCCGCATGTGCGGAGATGTGCCTAGTCGGCGTGGCCGCCGTTGCGGTTGCCATTCCCCGTGTCCACTCTGCGGGCGGCAGGGGCAACGGTGCTGCTGCCGGCTGCTGCTGCATCTCGGCCTGTGCCGGTGTCGTTGCAGCAACAGCAGCAGAAGAAGTCAATGGCGCTGCTGGAAGACGCAACAACTGCGGCGCCTCTAACAGCATTTCCCTGTGGAATGTGTAGGTGGTGGGGTGGCCGTTGCGGCGATGGACTGGGGCCCTGATGTTGTGTCTACCGCTGTTGTTGTTGCTGCTGCTGCTGGTCCTGGACGTGGTGTAGTAGCACGACGGGTACACCGAGCAGGAACATGAAGGCGTCCACGTGTGGCGGCGGCCACTGTTGCCACCGCTGCTGCTGGAGCTGCAGCAGGTATCGTATACATCACCAGATGTCCCGCTGGAGCAGCTGCAGCTCTCTGCCCACTCGCTGGAGGAGTAGGAGCAGCTGCAGCAAGAAGACGTGCAGGCGCCGGTCGCCGCCAGAGTCGACCCCGCATCTCGCTGCCTCGCCAATCGCTCTGAGTTATGCGTGTGTCGGTGCATCCAAGTCACGCTGCTGCCGTGGCATGCGCGTGCGTTTTCGTGGTAGAGAGTGAAAGAAAAAAAAAAAACCGAGAGAGGAAGGGGAGAAAGAGAAATAGCGAAATTCAAGACCGCAAGCCGGCACGTAAGAATAGGCGAGGAAAACAGCACCATAGCGAAAGGACAGTACGCTGCACGTATTACCCACCTTCAGAGCCAAACTTTTTTTTGTTTTTTTTGCTCAGAATGTGCTTCGCCCTCCCTCCCTGTCTCTCTCTCTGTGGGTGTGGGCCGTCGCCCCTGCGCGCATGCAAAGAGGGAGAGACGGAAAGAATTTAAAACGAATCGTACGCTGTCCCTGACATTTTCTCCTCTCTTGTAAACATATATATA